AGGGTTTATTTATGAGAAAGACAACACATTTTACATGCAACATCACAGAATTTCAAAATCTTTGAATCTTCTGATGCTGAATTATGGAGAAAATTGCTTCACATATTCCAAAAATAATGTTTCGGTGTTTAGTGACACTTTGGTTGAGGCAGTATCCTTTGGGACACAACCCAAATTCTAAATGAAATATTTAGCTTTATACAATGAACTTCTGTCAACAACTTTCTTGAAAAACAAATTACTTTTGACTTCCTCCTTGTCTATTTGATGAGAATTGTCATAACACCATCAGGTTGAAGAGTAAGATTCTTACATGAATAACATCTCTAAAGGTTATTTAATGTTAGAAAAAATGAATCTTGTTCACCAAATGTTCTTTTATATGATGTCATTAACAATTTTATCTTTACTCCATATGGTTATCATTATAATCAATTTTTCCATTTTCTTAAACTGCATATGATCTTGTCACACCCATTTTTGTACTTTGAACATTTCCTCCCCCATAAAGGAAGAGCTTACAAGGATTGAGAGTAGAAAATCTACTGTAATTTTGAAATTTTTGCTTCAAGAACATTTAGAAATACGAATTCTCTACTAAGAGAAAACATGAAGTAGGATGATTTGTTACATATTTCAGAAGTGAAGTAAAAATTCATGACAATCTTGGGATAAAGGTCAGTCAGATAAATCAAAATGAGGCTATCTATTTGCATCTATCTATTTAAATCTATTTGCCGTTGGCATATATATGAATTAATAGGGCCAAAGAGAATAATGGCATACATGTAGTTCTTTAATAACTGTAGCAATAGTTTAAAATAATGTCAAAATATTGAACCATAAGCTTTCAATTCGAAAGTCTATTATGAGTTAGAACATTATCATAATCAAAATTTTGAAGCTTGCACCCTGGGACTGGGATACAAGTTATACCGTAATCATATCACTAACAGGAAAAAGAATCACTTTCTTCATCACTGTTAACTCAAGACAAGATCAGTATTTCCTTTTCCACTCAAAATGTATGATAAATAAATATTATTGAAGTGGTAATGCAAAGTTCTCTGGATGTATACCTCAGACCATAGGGGTCTTCTATAACTAGCGCAAGTGCCAAGGAAGGCAAATGGTGAATGTGTTTACTATATCATGATATATAAAACTATATTCTTAATGTATGATTTTTATTAATTTCTGAATTTTTCATAAATTAAAAGTGAGGGAAATTTTTATATTCTAAAATATAATTTCCTTATTCTGATTATGACTTTTTAGTAATGCTAAATTTAATAATGTGGCTTAATTATTTCTTTAGCTGGTATTATACCTACCATACACTATATTTTACTCAGTTACCTTGTTCATTCTGTTTCTCCATCCCCACCTCTGGAATATAACCACATCAGAGCAGGTGTTATTAACTTGAGGCAACTTCTATGTCTCGGGTGCTTACAAGAGTGTCTTAAAGGTATCTCTTGTAATAAGTTAACATTTTCCAAAGTCTTATAAGGTGGAGTCATAGTGTTAGAAGAAATGATATAAGAATTTTATTTTATTTTTTTTAAAGATTTTATTTATTTGACAGAGAGAGAGACAGCCAGAAAGAGAACACAAGCAGGGGGAACAGGAGAGGGAGAAGCAGGCTTCCTGCAGAGCAGGGAGCCTGATGCGGGGCTCGATCCCAGGACCATGGGATCATGACCTGAGCCAAAGGCAGATGCTTAACCATCTGAGCTACCCAGGCGCCCCAATATAAGGATTTTAAACGAGAATTTTGAGTTTAAAATCATAAAGGAAAATCACCAAATATCAGAACTAGGAAAGATTTTTTATTTTAAACAGGTCTCATTCTACCATCGCTGTAGAAATTAAGATGCAGAGAGATCAAGTGTTTTGTCAGATCAGAGAATGTTGGTACTAAAGGCCACCTTAAACCTCATACAGTCAAAATACTTAGAGCTACTTAGGCTATGCTTTAATGCATGCAGTGGTAGTGAACTCACTATCACTGATGAGTTCACTACCCTATAAAAGTATCACATTTCATCTTTTAAGAACACTATTTGTCAGAAACTTCTTTCTTAGATGTAATTGAGATGTGTATTCCTGTGCTTCGATTCTTTAGTCCTAATTGTATCCTTCAGTCATGCACAGTATGTCTAGTCCAGGGTATTTTTAATGTTATATGTTATGTATATATATATATATATATATATATATATATATATATACATGTACATACACACACATGTAAAGTGATGTGGTGCAAAAGTATAAATTTGATGTCCTTTATGAATGAGAGCTTCGGGCTAAAAAGTTTTCCTGCCTCACTATTTTTCCAATACCTCTTTGCCTCCTGCCTTTTCTCACATACTCACATGCATATATACACACACAAGACATAAACACACACACATACGTTAAGCTGTTATACACATATGCACATTGCATATGCATCCATTCACGAAAAGGTGTATTTATATTTTGTGTCTTGTAGGAAAATCAAAAACTTAAATAAGAATATATAAAATAAGTTATAATCTTTCAAACTCCATTTTCCCTCTCTGTTTAATCTCTACTATATTAGGAACCATAAAATAAAAACCATGTTGTTCTTCTCTCATCCTCTAAAAGCCAAAATTTAATCCCCCTTCCATATCAAAATGGGTTTATTAAAGTATCTATTAAAATTGCTAAAATGTTTCTAGAAGTCACTCTGTTGTGACCCTCCAACTAATATCTCTAATCTGGTCTTTCCAGATCCATCTAAATTCCACTCTCCTCTGAATAGTAAACTTATTTAGCTCTCTCAACAGGGAGCTTCTAGAACTAAATGCAATACTCTAATTGTGGTCTTACTAGGAAGAACAGTATAAGCTTCTCTCCTGATTCATTCAAGAAAGTGTATTTTTCCCAGTACAACCTATAATCCCATTTGGTTTTCCTATAGCCATATCATGTCTGACTCATACTGAGCTTAATGTCAAAAAAAATTCTTAGTCATTTTCTATATGATGCTGCTAAGCCATTTTCCTTTATTCTATACTCATGCAGTTGAAATTTCCTTTGGGTAGGAGAATGGTCCTCAAATTGTACATATAATAATTACTCATATAACTACACATAATAACTGCATTAAAAAATAGTGTCAACTGTTTCTTTTGCTGTGCAAAAGCTTTTTAACTTGATGAAGTCCCAATAGTTCATTTTGCCCTTGCTTCCCTTGCCTTTGGTGATGTTTCTAGGAAGAAGTTGCTGTGGCTGAGGTCAAAGAGGTTGCTGCCTGTGTTCTCCTCTAGGATTTTGATGGATTCCTGTCTCACACTTAGGTCTTTCATCTATTTTGAGTCTCTTTTTGTGTGTGGTGTAAGGAAATGGTCCAGTTTCATTCTTCTGCATGTGGCTGTCCAATTTTCCCAACACCATTTGTTGAAGAGACTGTCTTTTTTCCATTGGACATTCTTTCCTGCTTTGTTGAAAATTAGTTGATCATAGAGTTGAGGGTCCATTTCTGGGCTGTCTATTCTGTTCCACTGATCTATGTGTCTGTTTTTGTGCCAGTACCATACTGTCTTGATGATTACAGCTTTGTAATAGAGCTGGAAGTCCGGAATCATGATGCCACCAGCTTTGCTTTTCTTTTTCAACATTCCTCTGGCTATTCAGGGTCTTTTCTGGTTTCATATAAATTTTAGTATTATTTGTTCCATTTCTTTGAAAAAAGTGGACGGTATGTTGATAGGGATTGCATTAAGTATGTAGATTGCTCTAGGTAGGATTGACATCCTCATAATATTTGTTCTTCCAATCCATGAGCATGGAATGTTTTTCCATTTCTTTGTGCCTCCCTCAGTTTCTTTCATGAGTATTTTATAGTTTTCTGAGTACAGATTCTTTGCCTCTTTGGTTAGATTTATTCCTAGGTATCTTATGGTTTTGGGTGCAATTGTAAATGGGATTGACTCCTTAATTTCTCTTTCTTCTGTCTTGTTGTTGGTGTATAGGAATGTCACTGATTTCTGTGCATTGATTTTATATCCTGCCACTTTACTGAATTCCTGTATGAGTTCTAGCCAAACTGTGGAAAGAACCAAAATGTCCATCGACAGATGAATGGATAAAGAAGATGTGGTATATATATATCACTGATGAGTTCACTACCCTATAAAAGTATCACATTTCATCTTTTAAGAACACTATTTGTCAGAAACTTCTTTCGTAGATGTAATTGAGATGTGTATATATATATATATATATATATATATACACACACACACACACACAATGGAATATTATGCAGCCATCAAAAGGAATGAAATCTTGCCAGTTGCAATGACATGGATGAAACTGGAGGGTATTACGCTGAGTGAAATAAGTCAATCAGAGAAAGACATGTATCTTATGACCTCACTGATATGAGGAATTCTTAATCTCAGGAAACAAACTGAGAGTTGCTGGAGTGGTGGCGGGTGGGAGGGATGGGGTGGCTGAGTGATAGATATTGGGGAGGGTATGTGCTATGGTGAGCGCTGTGAATTGTGTAAGACTGTTGAATCACAGACCTGTACCTCTGAAACAAATAATACATTATATGTTAAGAAAAAAAGAAGAAGATAGCAGGAGGGGAAGAATGAAGGGGGGGAAATCAGAGGGGGAGACAAACCATGAAAGACTATGGATTCTGAAAAACAAACTTAGGGTTCTAGAGGGGAGGGGGTGGGGGGATGGGTTAGCCTGGTGATGGGTATTAAAGAGGGCACGTTCTGCGTGGAGCACTGGGTGTTATATGCAAACAATGAATCATGGAACGCTACATCAAAAACTAATGATGTAATGTATGGTGATTAATATAACATAATAAAAAATTAATTAAAAAAGAAATAAAAAAGAAATTAAAAAAATAGTGTCATGTTCACAGAAGTTACAAATTCTGAAAGTTAAACATAAAAATTTAATTGAGGGGCATAAACAAACAAAAGTTAAGACACATATCCTACCTATAAAAACCTGGTGGCACTTGCTGTACCAGGAAGTTTTTTTCCATGTCTTGGAGAATGTCATTCAGCATTCGGACACGGAGGGGAATTCTCTCCTTCGGATCATTCGCAGGACGCATCTCATCTGACTGGAAGAGTTCAGCACTCTCCCGCAAGCGTGAGGCCAGGGCTAGCAGTTGAGTGTTGGGTTGATCACCTGGTGAAGATAAATGAGTCCATCTCAGAAGAGACATCCTTAAAGGAGCAAAATAAGCATTCCGTAATCATGATGTCAAAAAGGAACATCAGTTAAACTTTTATAATGTATTAATTCCACCAAAAATATTCTGTCTGAACAATTATATTCTGCTAAGAGTATTAAATTTATTGCTACCACTACTACTACTAATAATAATACTAGGAAATAAGTACTCATTGAGAGACTGCTATGTTCCAGGCACTGTATTGAGCACTTTACATATTTATCTTGTTTAATATTCACCAAAGCTTGAATTGTCATGTCTATTTCATAGCATCTGAGAATTAATTAAGGCAAGCAAATTGTCCTAGGTCATGAAGCAAATAAATGACAGGCCAAAATCAGAAGCCTGATCTTTCTGACTCGAAAATGCATGCTCTTCATGGCGTATCCTGTATTTCTATGGGAAAAAAGATTGTAGAAGAAATTATCTTCTGAGAGGATGAGGTACGTTACTCTGTTGTGATGGGCTCTTTTGCTTTACTAATAATTTCCTGTAATTTGAAGCTGAAATACATCTTTGATTTGAAAATACCCTGAAAACTATCCTATGTAATGTTTGCATTGCTTGATTTTGCTTTTGGGATAATTTTTGTTATGCTTTGTTCCTATTTGTTTGTGTAACTTACTGGAAGTCATTTTGATATGAATGGTGAGAGCAAACATAGGACATTCCTTTGATTAAGAGTAAGGCAGCATTAGTATAGTGATTATGGCCACCAGACCCTGGAGCCAGACCATCTGAGTTCAAATCCCTGCTATACCACTTAGTGGTTGTGTGATGTTGGGCAAGTTATGGAGCTTCAGTATCCTAATCTATAAAATGAATAAAATAATAGCATCTGTTTCATAGATTTTTTTGTGAGGGCTAAATGAATACTTTATAAAGTGTTACAAAAGTATTCCCCTACAGGTAGGCAGTTACTAGCTGATGTGACTTAACACCTTGTTTAAAAAGCATTCTTTTGTTATACCATGAGCGGGGCATTCCCTCATTATCTTCCTGATATTCCCCATCATTTGAGTCAGTCTCTGGGTGAGGCAACAGTTAGTGGTGCCGTTCTCAGGAAACTAGGTACAAATGACTCCAGCAAGGTCAGAAACTCAATACAGAGAATTATGTCAAGTCAAGGTGATGAAATGACCATGGACCTGATAGATCTAAACTGGCTGTCCTGAAAGCATGGCATTGATATAAGCAGATGGAGAGATGAGGAAGCCAAAGGGGACCTTTGCTTGTGGAAGTGTCAGGCAAAAGGGAAAGATCACAAAGGGACTCTTTCCAAGTGAAATTCAAGGGTTACCAGATCCCCAAACAACTTGTCTTTGTGAAAATGCAGATTCCCAGGCCTGCTGAATCTCTCTAGGGGTAGATCCCAGGAATCTCCATGCTACCCAGATTATTACACACATTTTAAAGTTTAAGAAACACTGTAGAGAAGTGATGCGCTAAGGAAAGAAAATCTAGGTTAGAATTATAGCTGATGTATAAAATGCATCTTCATAGAATTACCAACCTCTAACATAGTGATCTTTATTGTCTTTCCCCTTCATCTAATGGGGACTATTTCACGTGTCAATTTCTTTAGAGGCCAGCACAATTCTGACACTCAATAATTGTTTACTAAATAAACAAAGGAGATTCAATAAAGTATTTTTAGAAAAAAATCCAACAACAAAAAACTATGTAGAGGTAAGCAGTTTTCAAGAGAGCTGTAAAGAGATAGCCACTTACATGCTTTCTGTTCACTGAATTAACAATATGAATAAAATCAGTTGTAGGAGTTCACAGGTTTTGGCATTTTGATGTTTTTAAAGTACATTCTGTATTCATTAATTATCTTGTTTGATATCACAACAAAACTTGAGGTTGCAAGGGGAGAAATTTTTGCTCATTGAGGAAATTTAGCACCCTACATAACAATTATAATGATAATGCCATTTTATGAAGTTATGGCTTATTTTAAATTATGATGTTTCACTGAAGTTAATACATGGGGAACTTACAGGAAATACCTTTGTACAAGGAAAGAATAAGACCAAAAAAGGCACATTTAAATTGTACTGGAATAGAAAGACTGTACAACAGAAAAAACAAGTTTGACATCCTTGAGAGTCTTCCATTTAAGAAAGAAAAATCTGTTCTGATCTAACATACACTACAGAATTGAAGACATTACCACCGAATCAAGTGAGACAAATTGTACCATTCTACCTTATTTAGCTTTAAAAGAATTTATATTTCATGGTGGTGAGGAGGTAGAGAACTGACATCTTTAAGAACTGTCTTGTTCCAGAAAGGACCCTGATAGTGAACACCTGCCATCTACACAATACCCTATATATTACTTCCATGGTATAAGGTTACAAATTGAAAAGTAGCTTTACTTTCAATGTTCACTCAATCATTTGTATACATAACTGATGTTCCAAAGATTCCTAATAACCATTTTAATGCCAATTAGAGCTTGTTTGTCCATTTAAATAAGACCCATAAAGTAACATCATTGACTCTATGTAAGTTGTGACCTTAAATGATTTTTTTCCCTATGATCTTAGGATCCCTGTTAGAATGTCACCTCTGTGAAGGAAGAGATCATTGTCTGTTTTGTTCACTGCCATTTCCTCAGACTAACACTATGCCTGGCATATCACTGAATTATCTATTTTGATCATAGCATCATAGCATCTGTAATATTTTTATCCTTATCTGCCTTGTCTATCTCCTTTCCTTGACTGAAAAGAACCCCACAAGGTCAGCAAATATGTTTTATCTCTTTGTATCTCTAGATGCTAGCACAATATCTGAGATATGGTTGTCATTTATTAAAAATTTTGTTAAGTGAATTTTGAATTATAAGATAATGTTTTGAGATATTATACTAAATAATGCCTACAAAGTCACTTAGGGAAATGTTTGGCATATAATGGAAACCAACTAATTTTGATAAAAATCAATAATAGTTGCAAAGGAAAAGATAAGAAAAGAAGCTATTTTAGGGTAATGAGAAGTTAAATTCAACGAAATTGAATTAAAATATGTCCTGCCAATAATCCATAAAACTAAGAATATATAAAACTTCATTTAAGTCACAGTGAATGTCAGAGAACAGAGGACTAATTGAGCCTCTTAGCAGTTCAGGTTTAATAAGCAGTAAGTCCATTTGACCAAAGAAAATGAACTGGGAGTTCGAGATTTCTCTCAGCGAGAGTTAATACAATTATCTTGAAGTTATATGCACGTAGAGTCTAAAGACCAAGGTCTTGGTATCAAAAAACATGTAAGAGCTCCATCTACTTAATTACTACCAGTGTAGTTTTGAATAGATTACTTAATATTACTGTCCTTCAGCTTCCTTGGGGAAAACACAGAAAATTGTCATTTCACTATCTAAGCATATAAATCACTATGTAAATGGAAGTTACTATTATCAGAGTATACAAAGTATACATAAGTATAAATTACTACCAACTCATTTTTCAAAGACATGCAAAAAATACCATAACTAATGATTTTTTCTCAGAGATGCTACTTTTCACTTCCTCAAATCTGTGCCCCCACTTCTCCATAACTGTACTACACTCTTCCCTGTATACACTGTAATAAAGATTCCCAATTTTATTTTGTGATGACTATGAATCTGGAGCCATTTTTTTCTTTCCATGGACTGAATCTCAAACTTCTGAAGAACAAGGAAAGGGATAATATAAAAGTTAAGGAATTAAACCACCAGCCTTCAAAAATGATCCTTTTACATCTTCGCTTCTGGTGAAAAGCCAATCGTTAATAAGTTTTTACAGCATGTCAGGATATATTGATATGTGATAAATATTGAATACCAACCTTAGTATAATACAAAATAACTGAGACTGCCTAGTAAAATTATCTTATTATTCAAGAGACCATTGAAATGGACTTCTAAATTTCAAACAGTAACAATGCATTTTTTCCTTTGTCTCAAAGTAAAATACAAACATATGTTCAGTAAGTAAATTACTGAGTGCTATTTTGTGTGGTGTTCTATAAGTACTAGGAGAGAGGCAAAGACATAAGATTAAATCTCTAACCTTAATAAATTCCTAATCTAGCTAGAAATAATACACAAATTCAGAATAAATAAGGATCAAATAAATGCTCATGAGAATGACTGAAGAGTTTATTGTGTATAAAAATACCCTAAGTAAATCCAGAGAAGTGAAACTTGAGAGACAGATCATGGAATTGCCCAGAAATCAGGGGCATCTAAAATGGACCTCTTGGAAGTTCTGGGACTCTTTCTACATTAAAGCAGTCGAGGATGTTCCATCTGTAAACAACAATATTAATTGCTACTAATTAATCCCTTCCTATTCCCTCAGTCCTCAGCTTTCTAGAAGATGAATCTACCTCTAACTTCTTCAACCCTTCCATTTTTCCATCTTGTTATACAAAGCACAGAGCTGGATATTATAAGCAGTAGTAATATTAACTGAAATACTGCAAAGGAGAGAAGGAGGGAGGGAGAAAGAGAGAAGGAAGGAGGAATTATGAGTCAGTGGATAGTGAGATAGTGTTGAGATTTATGGAGGCCAGTTCAGGAGAGGCTCTAAAACATACTGAAGGAAATCTGTCCCTACTCCTGCCTTCTGGCCAATCATCACATTGCAGCATTCTCCCCTTCAAGTCATTTGGGAGGCAGTGTGTTGTAGTGGAAAGGGCAAGGGCTTTGGAATCTGACAGAATTATCTGTATTCAAGCCCTAAACCTACTGCTTAAATATGTATACCTGAGTAAGATATAAACACACTCTCCCCCACCTCACTCAAGTTTCTTAATCTCTAAATTGCTCTTAACAATATCCAGTTCAGCTCATGTGGTTAGAGTAAGGTTAAATGTCACCATGGACATAAGACACTTAGCATATTACCTGGGGTTTTGTGGAGTGACCCCAAAAGTGCCACGGTGTCCTCAGAAAACT